TTGCAAGAAAACTCCATGCCCAACTCATTTCCATAGGATTGGACTCTGCTATTTTCCTCCAGAACCATCTCTTGCACATGTACTCTCAATGTAGCTTGATAGAAGACGCTCGTCGGATTTTTTACAGTATTCAGTATCCTAATGTGTTTAGTTGGAATACTATGATCAATGGATTAGTAGATTTGGGTCAAATGAGGGAAGCAAAGATCTTGTTCAATGAAATGCCTGAGAGAGACTCTGTCTCTTGGACTACAATGATGTCTGGCCATTTTAATAATGGGCAACCAGTGGATGCAATTAAAGTTTTTGCTGCAATGGTTCAGAATTGTGAGAGTTTTTCCGACCCATTTTCCTTCTCTTGCGTAATGAAGGCTTGTGGTAGTCTTGGCAACATCAAATTGGCTCTTCAGTTGCATAGTCTTGTGGAGAAGTTAGAATTTGGAAACAACATGACTATTCAAAATTCGATTATCGATATGTACATTAAGTGTGGTGCATTGAGTTCTGCTGAGAAAATGTTTTTGAGGATCCCAAGTCCCAGTTTGTTTTGTTGGAACAGTATGATCTTTGGTTACTCTAAACTTTATGGGGTTCAAAGGGCTCTTCATATGTTTTTTCAAATGCCTGAACGTGACTGTGTGTCTTGGAATACCATAATTTCAATCTTTTCTCAGCATGGGTTTGGGGTTCAGAGTCTCAGTATGTTTGTTGAGATGTGGAACCAAGGTTTTAGACCAAATTCTATGATATATGCCACCGTACTTAGTGCATGTGCAAGCATATATGATCTGGAATGGGGTACCCATTTGCATGCTCGGATCATCCGTATGGAACCAAGTCTTGATGTCTTCGCAGGTAGTGGACTGATTGATATGTATGTGAAATGTGGACACTTGCATTTTGCACGGCAGGTGTTTAACAACATGGCAGAACACAATGCAGTTTCTTGGACTTCTTTGATCAGTGGAGTTGTGCAGTCTGGACTTGAGGACGAAGCTTTAGTACTGTTTAACCAAATGAGAAAGGCTCCTGTTTCCTTGGATGAGTTTACTTTCGCAACAGTTCTTGGGGTTTGTTCAGGCCAAAAGCATGTTTTAGTTGGGGAACAGCTCCATGGATATACAATCAAGGCTGGAATGATCTATTCTATTCCTGTAGGGAATGCTCTTGTTACCATGTATGCAAAGTGTCAAAATACTCATAAAGCAAATCAGACATTTGAGTTTATGCCATTCAAAGATATAATATCATGGACAGCAATGATCACGGCATTTTCTCAAGTTGGTAATGTTGAAAAAGCTCGAAAGTATTTTGATAAAATGCCACAGCGGAATGTCATAACTTGGAATTCAATGTTAGTAACATATTTTCAAAATGGTCTTTGGGAAGAAGGCCTAAAATTGTATATTCTAATGCGAAGGGTAGGGGTTAACCCTGATTGGGTCACCTTAGTAACTTCAATCAGTGCATGTGCTGATTTAGCAATATTAAAACTTGGGATCCAAATTATAGCTCAAGCTGAAAAAATAGGGCTTGGTTCTAATATTTCTGTCACAAATAGCGTTGTTACTTTGTATTCACGATG